AACTTGATGTTGGAGATATTTGGAGAATTAGGTGTGTTTATATGGCATATCTTAATTTTTAAAAAGTTACATATAGCAATGCAAAAGTGGATGGGCAGTCAGACAGATGGATGGATGGACCGATGGATACAAAAGAGCCTAGCAGCCCCCTGCTATGCTTGTAGAATGTTCCCAGGTCTGACATATAGCCAACTTCCAACAGGCTTGATTGAGTCTTGTTGCAAGAAACTAAGGAGGGGGTGCCACCATGCGCAGCCCATCCCAACCTTCAGGATGCCATACAGCTCCCTGAATGGACACAAGGTGGGCATGAGAAACACAAGACAGGTTCACTCAGGAAGATGCTGTAAAAGGGAGCATCTGTGTGGAGGGTGGAAGTGCAGGGGCAGAGGTGGGAAATCTGTCACTTCTCTCACTGCTGGACACTGTGTAATGGTTCTCAATAGCAGGGACCCACTGACCCCAGGAAAGGAGCCCCATGTGATGTGTGGTTTTGAGGGAGGGTTGTGAGCAAACAAGATGCCCTGTTTACCTTGCACATCTTTATCTGCCTGTGGAGTGACTCGGGTAATGGCATGTCCTTCCTCCTGAGGGACAGGTAAGACCTGACTCCATGGACAAAGTGATCATGTGGCAACCTTCAGACTGCCAGTGAGGTTGCAGAGAAAGTCCTCAAGGCTGCTGAGACCCCCAAATCCTGGGACTTCCCTTGCTCTGCAGGCTCCATTGTCACCTCCCCTGACCACCCCCAGCTCAGAAGCCTGACCCACCCAGTGCTCCTGCACATCTGTGGTTCCCTGTCACCTCACTGGATGGCATCTGTCCCTCACTGTTTGTTGAGAGCACCATTGAAGCAGGGGCCTCTCTCACTTGCATTTCCCTGAAGGGGCTATAGGAGTCGTCAGCACATCCCTCTGAATCCATATCCTTGCTATCTGCCTGAGGAACAGTCACTTCCTCTTGTCACACCTGTTTCCTCATCTGCGAAATGAGGATGGTGAGCATATCTGCCTCCTAGGACTGCTGGGAAGATGACACAATGCTTGCCAGACACTGGGCTGGCCATATCTCTGTAGCATGCACTATGTCCCAGGCTCTTCTCCTACTTTGCAAGAATCCAGTGCAGAAGATTCTTCTACAGATGGAGAAACAAAGGCACAGAAAGGGACAATAACTTCCTCAAAGCACACCAGCTAGTATGCAGTGGGGTCAGCAAAAGTTTTCTGCAAAGAACCAGGTAGCAAGCATTTTAGGCCTCATGAGTAAGAAAATCTGAGACAGCTACACGTTCTGCTGATACAGTGTGTGTGTGTGTGTGTGTGTGTGTGTATATATATATGCAGCCATATATCAATGAATGAGCACAACTGTGTTCCAATAAAGCTTTATTCATAAAAATCAAACATGGGGTCATCAAACTGGCTGTAGTTTGTTGAGCCCTGCTCTACATTGCTTTGTACTCTAAATAAATGGCAGGTGTGTTTATTATTAACAAACTGTTAGTTTCCTGACTCTAGTCCAGTGCTTAGCGCAATTAGGTTCTGATAATTTTTTGAGTTTGAAGGAGATGGCGCTGCAGGGCTCACTCCAGGTGGGAGTAGGTAAGGGACTAGCACATATTCTGCTGAGCTTTCTTATCCCTTTCTTTGTCATCATTACTCCAAACCAAGGAATGAGCCAAGGCTGGATGCAGGATACCTGGATTTTAGGACAAGCACTGGCTGCCAGAACTAGAACAAGCCTTGTAGACCTGGGCTTCCAGTTTCTTGTTTTCCAAATAGGATGAATAATTTCAGTTCTCTTTCTTCACAGGGCTTCCTTGAGCTCAGAGAGGAGGCCGTACTGTGCTCATCAACTGCAATGAAACTTAAAAAAACCCCAAACTGTTAATGGCAAGCAGGATTTAATCCTCGCTGGGTGAAAGCCCCATTCTCATCTAATCTCCAAGGGTCCATCATGGAAGACTTGTTCTTACCCCTCCTCATAGGGAAGGAGACTCAATGATTGCCTCTAGGGCCTTTGTTAGTGAAGCATTCACAGCATGCGCCTGGAAATGTGCAGCCAAGTGTGGCCCCAGTCAATCATTGACAGAGCATTCACACCTCAGGTGTCACTGTGTCCTCTGGCTCAGGGCCAAGTGCCAGGGGAGGCCTGGTGCCCTGCAAGGGCACTTCTAGAGCTGCAGGCACTCAGGAGTGAGCCATGGTGAAGTTCATAGTACTTCCGCCCCCTGAGATCTAGAGGAGCAAATGGAACCCACACAGCCCATCCAGAAAAAAGATGGCCCAAGATCCATTTCCCTGAAGCTGGCTCACCTAATGATTCATTCATTCATTCATTTATTCATCCCAGAGTGATTTCTTGAACATCTAGTATGTGCCAGGGTTCCTAGGAGCCACTGGGGCTCATATTGAGCAAGTTAGCCAAAAAAATTACACCAATAATTTTGGAAAGTGATAGACTCAATAAAGAAAATAGAAGGGATCATATGAGAAAAGCCAGGGTCAGGAGAGAGTGGAGAAGGCCACCTTGAGACCTGAGTAAGCAGAAGGAGCAGGCCCAAGAGAACCAAGGGAAGGGGAGGCCAACTGAAGGGGCCAGCAGTTCCAAAGTCGGTGTGCTGGAAGGTGGCTGCAGTGTGGACAGGGGAGAGACTAGAGCAATGGTTCTGATGACCAGAAGTTTAAACTCAGTTGGGGAGTTTCTGTCCACCTTTTTTACATGTTCAGAACTTCTAAACCCATTCTTTTTATGACATTCACAACATAATTTTGGTTGACAAATTTCTGTAAGAGAAACAATTTGTTTCCCTGCATGTCTGTTTTTCTCTTAAAGATAACTAGGAACATAGGTAACTAGAGGACATAGACTTGGCTTTGGGGCTGGATTCTCAGAGGAGAGGGGACATCAGTGGGGTGGGTACCAATTTCTGAGCTGACATAAAGCCACTTCCTTCCTCTCTGTCTCCTGGAGGCACCGTGTCATCCTCAAGAGAACTTCCATAGGCTGGCTCACCATTGCTTCTTAAATGGTCTTATTTGTTTCCACTGAAGCTCTGCACAGAAATTCTACTCCTGGCTCATCTAACACACAGAAGGCCCCCAGAGTCAAGCATGAGAATTCGTTCACAATGGTCCCAACCTAGAAATAATTTCATGCTCACAACAGAATAGATAATGAATTGGGAAATACCCAGTGGAATACTACGAAACAGTGGAAATCAATCTTCCAGTACATGAACAATGGGGATGTAGCTCATAAAGTTACAAAGCCAGACTCAAAAGCACAGGCAACATGACTCCATTTATGTGGAGTTAAGGTATAAGCAGACAGATACAGGCTGTTAGAAGTAGCCACCCCTGGGTAGGTTTGGGGAGGGTTGGGTGGAGGCACAGCAAGGAATTCTGGGGGCCTTGTAACATTCTGTTTCTTGATATGGATAGTAGTCGTATGTATGTATTCATTTTGTGAAAATTCATCAAACTGTGCATTATCATTTGAGTACCTTTCTTCGTGTAAATATATTTCATTGTAAGATATTTTGAAGGCCTGATATTCTTAGGAAATGCAAGCAACAATGCTGAAAGTAGAGTCTTTTGCAGTCTATTTAGTTATTCATGGTGTCCTCATTAAATCCCATGCAGGGATTGGCCCTGACACAGGGCCGTTGAACAGGCTCTTGGCTGTACCTGGAAGTCTCTCTCTCTCCTTACTGCCTCCTGGTTAACTCCAATGCATCCCTCAGTTTTCATCTCATACGTGATTTCTTCCAAAAAGAAACCATCTTTGACTTTATCATCTAGCTCAGGTGTCTTTGTTAGAAGCTCATAGAGCTTTGTCTTGGGTGAGATTATATACTTGTTTGTGTAGTTATTTGATGATTGTCTTCCTGGGCAGAACGAGTGCTGCAAAGTAGCGTGATGTGACTGTTTCTGCCCACCTATCACATGCCAGGACTAAGTACAGCACCAGTACTTACCTAACATAACAGGCACTTAATGCATCTTTGACAAATGAAGGAATAAATGAATGAATGGATAAAGGTCTGTGGATTTATTCTAAAGCTGTTTGCAACAAATACTCCTTTATCTCATAAATTCATTTAAGATGTTCCATTCAATAGCAGACATTGATATAAAATGATATGATATAAAATTATAACTTACATTACTTGATGTCATGTGAAATTGATGCTCTTAAAAAACACATGTACATCTGGACATAGCCCTGTGTACATTCTGGTGCACTGCTATGTCTTCGCAGATGTAATATATGTGTTTCTGATTTTAGAAGCTAAGACTTTTGTGTGCTTCATCCCTTCCATACCATAGCCAAGAAACAGAAGTCAGGATAATATGACCTGAAAGAGCAGTTGAGTCTCAGCTGGGGAGTTGGACTCATAGAGGGATAATGAGACTTTTCCAAGGTTGCAGAGGTATCTGGTCTTTTATTTCTATTTCAAGGACATAAATCCATTTTCCTGTCACCTTGGAAGGTACAAAAGAAATGAAGGTTAGGACTGTTTCCTCCTAGGATTGATAACAGAATTCACTAGTTAATTTGCTATCAGAAAGTTGAATCTTGGTTTCTTGATCTATAAAATGGGGAGAGTAAGACTAAATATCCCATAAGGTTGTCATGAAGTTTTAATGCAAGTCTGATAAACACATTCAGCCCAATGTCTGGGTCTTTTTATTTTTGGCAGTACTGGGGATTGAACTCAGGACCTTGCATTTGCAAGGCAAGTGCAGTTCCACTGAGCTAAATCCCCAGCCCGTGTCTGGGTCTTGGTAAGATCCCAGTGACATTTATCTGCTGGTGCAAATGTTCAGACCTTGGAGGCTGGGGGGAACATGGAACGGAGAAACTGACCTTGGCCTTCGATGGGTAGGACCCCAAGGCAAGCTTGGGGGAAGATAAGCCATGCTCCAGGTCAGGATAATAACCTCTCTCTCTCTCTCTCTCTCTCTCTCTCTCTCTCTCTCTCTCTCCCCCTCCAGGAGTGGTTGAATCTGCAGCCTTGGTAGTTTGGCTGAGAAGACAAATTAGCCAGAAAGCATTTTTGTTCAACGACAGCCAGCAGGCAATAGATTTTGTGAACTCCAGGCCTGTGGTCATCATTGGCTTCTTCCAGGTACTGAGGCTGAGAGGGGAGGTGGCTATTCACCCAGGGAGCGTGCTATGCCTGGGAGGTGGTGAGGTGAGAAGCCTGTACCACAGGTTGTCCCAAGCCCTAGTTTCCCTACCCATTGGGCTGATTTTCTGGGGGAACTCTGCGGTTCAAGTAGAAGACACAGTGGGAGCTGAAGGAGTAAGAGAGAGTAGGTGGGAAGAGGTAAGACAGGAATAGAGAGAAGGAGGAGGAATTTGGCTGACTTATTTAACTGGTTTTAGTAGTGAAACTGATCTTTGGGGGTTCCACTTAGAACATCACAAAATAAAGGGATATCTTTATTTTCTAGTTTGAGAGCCACTGTTTTCTATGATGCCGACATGCCTGGACCAGGCCAGCCTCCACCCCTAGCCTCTTTCCATCCCTGGTCCAATCTTCCCCAACTCCCTCCATATAAACTGAAACCATTAACAATTCATCAACACACACCCATTTGAAGGCATGCCAGCTCTCATCATGGGTGTAGTGAGGGAAGATGCTTGGGAATGGACATAAATAACTGAGATATAATTATGAAATGTCTCCTGAGAGCTTTCTGTTGCTTTTATTTTATGTATTTATAAATAAATCATTTGAGGATTGGTCTTGCTTCTGGAAAATGAATTTCTGATGCATCTTAACTCATTTACTTTCAATTGATGACTTTTCTCCTTCTCAAAGTAGAAGTCAAACTGTTGGCCTTGCCTCTTCTCCCTCCCCTTCTTTGAGAGCGTTTTTGGTCAAATTTCATTTTTAAAAGAAAATTGAAGAATGAAGGCTGAAACTCTAGCCATATCTGATACTAAGTCTACAACTGGCATCATATGAGGTCAAATCAATGTCCTCTTCTGCAAGCAATTAAGGAATTAATGTTAAAAATTCTCAATCCATAGGTTAGAATGGCCTCTATTTTAATAATTGAAAAAGATGAAGATAACCAATTCCTTCTATTGATGTCTAAGGATTTGCCTATTTGGCTTTAGTCACAGCCAGAGCAGCTTTCTAGGCATGAAATATCCGCGAAAGGGAATTAGATGGCCCAGGAAAACTTCTCCTGAACTTGGGAAAACGAGGAGACACATTAGCCACCATTTCCGTCCTACCCCCAAATACGACAAACATTTTTGATTCCTACCATAGCCTTACAAAACATGCTTTCCCGAACAGGATTTGGGGGAAGAAGTGGCAGAGGCGTTCTATGATGTGATCAAAGACTTCCCTGAGCTAACATTTGGAGTGATGCAGATAAAAAATACCTTTGGGCGTTTCCACGTGATCCTTGACAGTGTCCTGGTATTCAAAAAGGTAGGACCTACTTGACGGGGGAGGGTGTTTGTAGTTCTAAGTAGCGGAGTGTATATAGGCTTTGAGTACAAACTATGCTTCAGCCACTGTTGTGTTAGTGGCACTGGACTGGTTGATCTCTGAGAAATCTCATTTTGCTGGCTCTTTTCTGGCTTTTCTGGCCATTGCTACTGCCACTTCCTACTCCTCTTTTTTTTCTTATACCAGGAACTTTGCAGTAAGCTATATCCTCAGTCTTTTTTAAAATTTTGAGACAAGGTCCTGCTAAGTTACTAAGTTGCCCAGACTGGGCTCATGTTTGTGATTTTCCTGCCTCACCCTCCGGGAGTTCTAAGATTATGGACAGGTACTATCGTGCCTGGATTTTCCTTTCTTTAATCAGTAAATGGAGCTCATTGTGGCTCAATCTCATGCACTTTTTTTTCCCTTCTGGTTCATGCTTTCTCCTCTCTCAGCAATTGCTGTCCATAACCCATGTCCCATATGCATCTGTCTCCAGCCCTCATCTCTAGATCTTCATAGCAGCACACAGGTGCAGCCACATGGCTAAGCTCAAGGTCATAATGGCCTCCCCAAGTCCTCTCCAGCATTACTGCTCCCTCAGTGGGTGGTGCCACCACCTCTTCCGCTTAGGAAACCCAGGAAAACCCAGGAAAGTCCCAAACCAGGAAACACAGGTGACAGCCTAATGCTAGCTCTTCTCCATCCCTCAGGGCCAAGGCATCACTACAATCCGATTGATTCTATATCCCAAACACCCCTTGCATCTATCCACTTATCCCCACATCAACTGCCACCATTCTGGATCAAGTGTTCATCATCTTCCATAGCCTATTGCATAAACGACCTAACTAACTCTGGTCCTCTAGGGAGCAATCGTTCCAAAATTCAAATCTGGTGATCACATCTCTCCTCTCAGAAAGCTCTGTAATGTCTTTCTGTTATTAGATTAAAGACTTAAATCCTTAATGAGATCCACAAGGCCATTCATACTGAGTTCACTGAGCTCCATTCTTCCTTCCATCTCCAGGGCCTAGACCTGAGCTATCCAATATGGCAGCCACTGGTCACATGTGACTACTTAAATTAAAATTTATTAAATCATATTCCTCAGTCACACTAGCCATATTGCAAGAGCTCTGTAGCCAGATGGGGCTAGTGGCAATTGTACTGGACAGCCCAGAGGTACACAGCATTCTGCTATCAAAAAGATTCTGTTAAATGTTCTAGACAATGTGTCTGACTCCTGGAACATGATTTATTCCTGCACCACACAAAACCACCCTTTTCCATAGCTATGTCACTTGCAGATATGACTGGGAGAAACTAGTGACTTTTCCAAGGCCACATATGAGACAGGTGGAGTGAGGCCCAGACTCACCTGGATTTCAGAGCCGACCACAGGCCTGCTTTTATGTGGGTTCATGGAAATTATTGAGTCATGGAGCTGGGAAATAAAAGAGTCTGATTAGTGTTTTAGGGTAGGACAGTATAGAGTCTAGAAGTAGATCCAGACACATATAGAAACTTAGTGTGTGAGCAAGATGGATCTTTAGACCAGTGCGGAAATATGTGTTTTTGAACAAATGGTGTTGAGACAATTAGATAGTCATATGGGAAAAAAGAAAGCTGAAACTGTCTCCATGTATCATACCTTACATCAAATTAAATTGCAGACTGATCTTTGAGCATCCCCCCACCACACACACACACACACACACAAATGAAGGCACACAAAGACTAGAAGATGGCATGGAAGTGTCGCTTCATTTTGTTTTCAGTATTGGGGATTGAACTCAGGGTCTTACCATTGAGCTCCATCCCCAGCCCTTTTCTTATATTTTATTTTGAGACAGGGTCTCACAAAGTCACTAAGTTGCCCAGACTACCCTGGGAGAATTTGTTTTCCAGACTTAAGAGTAGGGAGACCCCTTTATAAACCAATGCAGAAACCCAGAAAGAACTACTATATTTGAACCACATAAAAGTTCAAAGTTCTGCAGAATAAATCCCTTCACAAAAGCAAGAGCCAAGCAGCAAACTTGGAAAAATACATCTGAGAGAGATGTGATATACTTTAACAGGAAAGAGTATGGACACTACAGTCAGATTCCCTGGATAACCTGTCTGCAGGGTTACCGGCAGCTCAGTGGTAGAACACACGTGCAGCACAGTTGAGACCCTAGGCTCCATACCCAGCACCATTAAATGAATAAATGAAACCTGGTTCCACCTCTCACTAGCTTAGCAACCCTGGACAAATCACTTCACTTCTCTTTGCCTCAGTTTTCTCACGTGTAAAGTCAGGGAAATAACAGTAGACAGTTCAATGGGACATTGTGAGGATTAAAGAAATTAATGCATGTAACATATTTGGAACAGGGACTAGAATAATGTGAGCACCCTCATTAGTTTTATTAGACTGTTATGACCAGTAAAAAGTTGAGGCTTTAGCCAGAGGACATTTTGGGCCTGTGACATACTTAAGCAAGAAAAGAATGACATAATTAGATGTGTGTCCTAACACCCTCCTTCTGGCTAGAGGGTCAGGCCTGGGTTGGAGGGGAGCAAGGGGAGAAGTGGGAGGGCCAGTGGGAGGCCATGGCAGGGCTCCGGATGACGAGTTAGTATCAAGGTGGCATGAGAGGAGATGAAGACAAGGAGATGGAATAGAAAGGCAGTGAGAGCTGCTGCTTCTCCTGCCCCTATGGACTTCCATCCTGGGCTACAAAGAATCATATCAGGCCCTGTCTTGGTCCAGAACCTCCTGTGAAACAGTTATCAGGCAGGATTAGATATGCATGGATATTTACTAGGAAAAATACCTGAGAGGGAAAACAAAGAGATACGGAAGACTCCGAGAGCTGTTAGATCACAATGAAGGTCTGATCCTTTGGAAGGGAACGAGGGGAGGGGAGGGGAAAAGGTTGGATGGAAGAGACTTTGATGCCAGTGAAATGCTAAGAAAGTTCATCGGAGTTGCCTATCTGAATAGCCTGACTCTCCTGGGAATGGGTTTGTCTCAGGGTCCGGATGCCCTCATTACTGATTCGCAGCAGTAGTATGTGAGAGACCGCTCGGTCTCAGCGTGAAAAGTTTGATGGATTTCGGATCACGACTGCTGAGGTGTCTCTCAGTTATACCCCTGTCATTGTAGATTGGAGGTTTTCACAGCTACCGCACATATTCCACCCGCAGGCCAAACTGCTCAGCTGTTCATATTCATTAAGTACCTGGATTATGGGTTACACCTGCCCCATCTTCTTCTTGTTTCTCTTTTATCCAAGGGGAAAATCATGCTATTTATATTTATTAACTGCCCTCCAATGTTTTTCTTCTTTCGCTCAAGGGGAGAGTTGTGAACCGCCAAGAGCTTATTAACGACAATACCTACAAACAGGACCTCTATGGAGTCATAAGAAATCACCTGACAGATTTTGTGGTTGAATATAACTCCAAGGTCGGTGGACAAAATGTTCCTGGAAGAAGGTGACGCGGCGGGGTGGCTGTGTGTGCTTGGGATGACATGTTTTCCTTGTAATTTCAGAATAAGGATCTGATTTATGAAATGAACGTCTTGAATCACATGCTGCTGTTTGTCTCCAGGAGAGCTGAGTCATATAGAGCCATAACTCGGCAGTATAAATTGGCGTCCAAGGAATTCCAGAACAAGGTTTATAGAATGTGCCATTGCTCTCTGAGATTCCTGGAGGGGGCCCAATGACATGCAGACCCTGAGACCATTTGTCTGGCTTGCTTACTATAAGTTAAGCCAAGAAAGCTTTGCCTCTTTATTTGCATCGCCATTTCCTCTTTTGCATGTTGATATTATTGACTATTTAGTTTTGTATCAATTTGTTTCATTCTTCTCTTCCTTTTTTTTTGCCGAACCTGTGCGACTTCACTCGCCTTTTAATAAGTCTGTTCTGGGGACGATGTGGTTTTGCTGTTTATCTGATGGGCCACCTTCCACAAACAGTGAGAGGGTGAAGCTTTTGGCTTGGAGGTTAAGGGGAAAGAAGACTCCTGCCTGAGGTAAAGGAATAGGAAAAGCCTGAAAGTGGAAAGCAGCACTGAGTATCAGGCAAGTGACTTTGGAGTTGCACAGGCCTGAATTCGTATTCTCTTCCTCTTACAGGATGTAGTGTCATAAATGAGTTTCTTAACTTCTCAGCCTCAATCTCTTCATGCAGGGCATGAAGAGTTGTAATAAGGACTACAAAGTCTAGTCCCAGTGTGGTGGTGCACACCTACAATCCCAGCATTCTGGGAGGCTGAGGCAGGAATACGAAACTTTGAGCCCAGCCTGGGGAATTTAGGGATTAAGCAAGACCCTGCCTCAAAACAAAACATAAAAATAATAAGAGCTGGGGCTGTAACTTAGTGTGAAGCCCCATGTTCTAGCTCCAGTACTAAAAAAAAAAAAAAAGAATTAAAAGGTCTATACGTTGTAAAACAATGAGCAGACATACAATGCGTGGTGCTCGCCATTACCGATACCCCCTCTATCATTAGTAGAAACAAGTCAGTTTCTTCTGGGTTCTGTATCTGTACTTCATGTCCTTATTGCCACCTGTACTATGGGCACTACTTACATTTTTATTCTCTCTGGGTTTTTTTTGGTACCTGGGATCGAACTCAGTACCTTGCACTTGCGAGGCAGGCACCGGAACCACTGAACTAAATCCCCAGCCCTCTCTGTTTTTAACAAGACATATAATATAGGCAACTTTTTTCCCATTTCCCAAAAATTATTCTGAAATGAAACAAAACATTTAAAAACTTTAAAACTGAAAACAAACACAGGCTCAAGCCACTAGAGTGCGGGCATTAAATGAATTAATTAGTATTAAATTAATGTTCAGACTACATCCCACCTAATTAGTTTCCAGAAAGATGATTCCAACCACAAAAATACTTCTTGTAAATATATTCCAACTTTACACTTTCTAATTCTGATGTAATTACATTGGCTGGATCTGATTACTTCCTCTTTGTTTTTCCTATGCTATTGCAGTCAATACTTGGACATATTTTCTTCCAGGCCTTTTTTTTCTTTTTTTTTTTTAAACTTTGAGGGTCTAAATTCTTGTTGCCCTAATTAGGGTTCCCAAATGCCATTGATTGAGCCAAAGAGAGACGGTTGAACTAACACTGTTCCAATAGCTTGCACTCCCATGTCCGTCTAGTTCATAGCTGAAGTTTGTTGGAAGTCCCTTTCCCAGCTGCTACTTTCACTTCTCTTCTACAGCCAGGGCGACCCTTTAAAAATGATCACCATGTCGCTCCCTGGCTTACTGTCCCTCCTTGGCCTCCTGTTATGTTTATTTATTTATTTTTTAAATATATATATATTTATTGGTACATTTTAGGTATACAATACATTTACATTTCTCATTGGGTGTTTGTACCAGAACATGATGCATCTTAGTTTTTATTTTTTCTCCCATGACCTGTGCACCCTTCACCCCCTCCACCCTTCCCTATCTACACAGAGTTTGTTTCCCTTTTTTTTTTCTCATAATTTTTTTCTTTCCCTTCTTCCCTTTCCCCTTTCCTTTCCACCATCCCCAAACCCTTGGACCTTTTCTTATTTCAAATTATCAATTATTGATTTTAATCATTTTCATCCTCATTTACACTTTCAATTTCTCACACTAGAGAAACTATTCGGTATTT